TATATTTTTTTTGAGTTGGAGTCTCACTCTTTCGCCCAGACTGGAGTGCAGTGGCCGCTCCTGGCCACCGCAGCCTCGACCTGCTGGGCTCCGGCGATCCTTCCGCCTCAGCCTTCCAAGTAGCCGGAATTACAGGCGCGTGCTATCACGCCCAGCTAATTTTTTGATTTTATTGTAGAGATGAGGTCTTGCCTGCCCAGGTGGGTCTCGAACTCGTAGGCTCAGGCAATCCACTCACCTCAGCCTCCCAAAGGCGCGGTATTACAGGCTGAGCCACCGAGTCCGGCTCTGGCTAATTTTTGATTTACTGTAGAGATGAGGTCTCGCCAAGTTGCCCAGGCGGGTCTCGAACCCGTGGGCTCAGGCAATCCACTGACCTTGGCCTCCCAAAGTGCTGGGATTACAGGCTGAGCCACCGAGCGCGGCCTGAATATTTCATTTTATATTTTGTATACTGACTTTACTTTTTGTTGTTGTTGTTGTTGTTGTTGTTTTTGAGTTGGAGTCTCACTCTGTCCCCAGATTGGAGTGCAGTGACCGCTCCCGGCCACCGCAGCCTCGACCTACTGGGCTCTGGCGATCCTTCCGCCTCAGCCTTCCAAGTAGCTGGAACTATAGGCGTGCACTACCACACCCGGCTAATTTTTTTGATTTATTGTAGAGATGAGGTCTCGCCAAGTTGGCCAGGCAGGTCTCGAACCCGCCGGCCCAGGCAATCCACTCACCTCGGCCTCCCAAAGTGCAGGATTACCGGCTGAGCCACCAAGCCCGGCCAGTTTTTTCTGGGGTTTTTTTGTTTTTGAGGTGGAGTCTCACTCTGTCGCCCAGACTGGAGTGCAGTGGCATGTTCCTGGTCACCGCAGCCTTCACCTGCTGGGCTCCACTATCCTTCCGCCTCAGTCTTCCAAGTAGCCCAAACTACAGGCGTGCGCTACCATGCCCAGCTGATTTTTAATTTATTGTAGAGATGAGGTCTCACCAAGTTGCCCGGGTGGGTCTCGAACCCGCAGGCTCAGGCAATCCACTCACCTCGGCCTCCCAAAGCGCTGGGATTACAGGCTGAGCTACCGAGCTCAGCCTGACTTTACTTTTTATACTCACTTGAACTGGAAGCCCTTTCCCCACTTTTACATCCTCTTCACTGAGAAAATCAAGGTCATCCTCTTTAAACTTTTTTGTTTTTTTTTTCCCGCCTTCTGTTACTACCTTCCTATAATTACTTCTATTTGTATAGCCAGTCTTCCTTTCTTGTCTCAGTGGCAAAAGTATCATATTCCTGCTCATGACGGATTTTGCCCATCTGTGCTTTGGCGACCATTCCTTCCAACCTCTTCATCTTTATTTCTCCTGTATCTTCAGTCTTTTACACATCAATTTTATGTGTAATATTTATGTATATTATACATATCTGCTTTCTATGTAATAATTCTGTATTACATGTTATATATTATACCTATGTAATCTTAAAAAGCAAAACCGAAAACTGCTATTCTTAGCTGGGCTCGGTGGCTCAGCCTGTAATCCCGCACCTTTGGGAGGCTGAGGTGAGTGGATTGCCTGAGTCTGCGAGTTCGGGACCCGCCTGGGCAGCGAGACCTCATCTCTACAATAAATAAAAAAATCAGCCGGGTGTGGTAGCGCATGCCTGTAATTTCGGCTACTCGGAAGGCTGAGGCGGAAGGATCGCCGGAGCCCAGCAGGTCAAGGCTGAGGTGGCCGGGAGCGGCCACTGCACTCCAGTCTGGGCGACAGAGTGAGACTCTACCTAAAAAAAAAAAAAAGAAAGCTGCTATTCTTTCCTTTTACCTTACATGTCTTTTTAGCTGTCACCCTGCTTGTCCTTTCCCTTCATAGCCAAGCTTTTTGAAAGCGTGTTTATTTACTGTTAGCATTTTGACTGCATATACACTCACCAGACACTCTAGTCTGGGTTTGGTCCCTGCTCATCCCACTAAAACTGCTCTCATGATCTCAGTGCTGTCAAATCCAGTGGATGCTCTTCTGACTTATTTTATTTGAAACATTCAACACTGATCTTCTTTTTCTTTTTTTAAAATGTCTTCTTTCCCCTGCTTATGTTGTTTCATGGTTGGTCCTACCTTTCTGTCCATTCCTCTTAGTCTTCTTTTTGGGTCTTTATCTGCCCACCCTTCCAGTGTTGGTTTTACTCAGAGTTCTGTCCTTAATTTTCTTATCTTATTATTCACACCCATGGTTTCATATACTGCTGAGTGTGAATGTCTTCCAAAATAATCTCTAGACCACACTTTTCCCCTGAAAAGACCCAGTGCTTGCACTTGGGTGTCTCAGATAAAACTTGTGCCTGCTATGTGGTAGATGCTCAGCAAATATTTGAATGAATGAATGAGTGTCTTGAATATAGGAATTAATGGCTCTCAGTTTCTACTGTGTATGTGTATATTTAATCAGTTACCTGAATAATGCTTTTTCAGAGTGTGTGCTACAGACTGTGAGGTTGTTACCTCGCTTTCTTTTCTCAGTCTTTATTTTACTAGTTCATTCCTATGACTAGTTATGTCATAGGAAGGAAGAAGAAAAAAGAAGTTTGTCTGTTTTTTGTTCCTAGTTCTTTTTTTTTTTTTGTAGTTGGAGGCTCACTCTTTGTCGCCCAGGCTAGAGTGGAGTGGCACTCTCATGGCCACCACATCTTCCACCTGCTGGGCTCAGGTGATCCTTCTGTCTCAGCCTTCCAAGTAGCTGGAACTACAGACACATGCCACCATGCCCTGCTGGTTTTTGTGATTTATTATAGAGGTCTCACCAAGTTGCTGGTCTCGAATCCCTGGACTCAGGCCATCCTCTTGCTTTGGCCTCCCAAAGTTCTGGTATTATAGGCTGAGCCACCGCACCTGACCTACTGCTATTTCTTAACCAAAATTATAGGAGGAGGAGGTCTGAATGAATTCTCAAAATAAAGCATATGTTGTCTGTGGATTTAATTTAGGTATGCATTCTCAATCCTTTAGCAGTATGAGTAATAGAAATGGATTGTATTTTTGTCCCCCTTTTTTTTGGTCATGTATTATATTTTCCTTTTTGGGAAGGGGTTTGATTTGGGCAAAGTGTTTATGGGAAAGAGGGAATTGGTGGTATCTGTATGTGTGGAAATAAAGGAGAAGCTCCTGTTCTCTTCATGTCATCTGTTTGCCGGTAGAGCCTGGCACTTGCCAGGTGTTGTGGTGACAGGTGCAAAGCAAGGGTGCCCAATTTAGAGGTTAGTGCTAAAAAACTAGTGTCATTTGCAGGTAAATTAATTATAGGCAAAGGGTATCAGTTAAATATTTTACAATGTGTTCTCAGAAATGACACAGCTTTTAATTTCATGTGAAGTATTGTAAATGCTCTCATCCATTCTGATGTAGTAGGAAAAAAAAATGAAACTGAATAACCTAAAGAAAGAGTTGGGTGCATTAAAAAAGACTCTGAATTTATATTTTTGGATTCTTCATAGTGCTTGCCCCCAACATACACACACCCCAGTACTGACTACCACAGTCTGTGTAACTTAGAAACAGTGAATAGAGTCAGGATATCTGCTGATCGTCTGTACCTGCCTGGTACCACATTCTTTTAGTTGTAAGAGGAAGATTTTATATATCTGAATTCCTCAGTATTCCTGAGAGGAATAAATAAAATATCCTGAGTTTATCAGAAATAAGAATCAGCATAAACATTCCCTCTTTTTATTAGAAAGGTGATTGATTATGGCTTAGCTAACTGCCATTATCAACTGAGAGAGTAAGGTGTGAGGCTCGAAATAGAAATAGTTTGAAATGCAGATTTTTATGTGCAGCTACTGTTTTGACAACCAAATCATTCCTTCTTCCTTTTGTAGGCTTTAGAATCCAAATTAGCAGCTTGCAGGAATTTTGCAAAGGACCAAGCTTCACGAAAATCATATATTTCAGGGAATGTTAACTGTGGGGTGCTGAATGGCAACGGCACAAAGTTTTCTCGATCAGGTCATACGTCTTTCTTCGACAAAGGGTAAGTCCCAGATGTTTTAAGTGACAATTTTTGAGTAGTAAATTTGCAGATTGTTAAGTGAACATAACGAAGCCTTGAAAAGAACTCCGTTTGGTAAACCAACCTGAAGCCTGTTATTGTTCTAATCTTAGGGGACATGAAGTCTGTTGTTGTTCTCTAGTCCCCAGGGAATCTGTTGCCCTGGGAACCCTGAATCTAAGGCTTCTGTCCTGTCTTGAAAGGCAGCAGTATGAGACTCTGAAGAGTCAGTGTGACTGTGATATGGTCCCTCTTCTCAGTGTGCTATAGGCTGGTAGACTGTCTTTTTTATTTTTGGCTTTTTAAAAAAATATATAGAGTGGGGCATCTCACTATGTTGCCTAGGCTGATCTTGAACTCCTGGCCTCAAGCAATCCTCCTTCCTCAGCCTCTCAAAGTGCTGGGATTATAAGGTGTGAGCCACCATGCCCAGCCTAGGCTGGTAGACCTTCTTAGCAAATATATCTTAAGGGTGGAAGGGAACACTGCAATTCTGCATATGCAAACTCTACAACATGCCTCCTGTCTGAAGATTTTAGAAAAATAAAGTCCTGAAGTATTCAGGTGCTAGATTAAATACAGCTTAGTTGATACAACTTTTGTATGAAATGAAAGACATTTTTGGGGATTGAAATTTTATTAAAAAGTGTCTTAATATTGTAGCAATTTTTTCAATGCAAAAAATTTTAGAAGTATATGAAGTTGCTGGGTCTGGTGGCTTATCCTATGATCCAGGGTTTTGGGAGGTTGAGGTTAGGAGTTTGAGACCAGATTGGGCAACATATTGGGACTCTATCTTTACAAAAAGTTTTTAAAAAGTAGGCATGGTGACGAGCTTCTGTTGTCCCGGCTACTTAGGAAGTTGAGGCAGGAGGATTGCTTGAGTCCAGTAGTTGATGGCTATAGTGAGCTATGATCACACCACTGCTCCAGCCTGGGTGACAGAGTGAGACCCTGTCACACACATACAAAAAAAGACAAAAAAAAGATGGTAGTTATTTCTAGGCATATGCAATCACATTTTTATGCATCTACTGTAAGCTTTTTGCACCACACTTATGGGATTATACTTTAAGTATTGCTTTGTAATATGCCTACCATGACTTATATTGCTAGTAATTTTCCATGTCAGTATGTCCTTCTACCTCAGTTTGTCTATTTATTCATTTTTAAATACTAATGGTTATATTCTTTTTTTTTTTTGAGTCAGAGTCTCACTCTGTCACCCAGACTGGAGTACAGTGGCACGCTCCCAGCCACTGCAGCCTTGACCTGCTGGGTTCAGGCGGTCCTTCTGCCTCAGTCTTCCAAGTAGCTGGAACTATAGGCATGCACCACCATTTCTGGCTAATTTTTAAATTTATTGTAGAGATGAGGTCTCACCAAGTTGCCCAGGCTGGTCTCGAACCCCTGGGCTCAGGCAGTCCTCTCACCTCGGCCTCCTAAAGTGCTGGGATTACAGGCTGAGCCACCGTACCCAGCCAGTGGTTGTACTCTTGTACGGGTGTGCCTTTATTTAGGTAACCAGTGAGTATCTGTGGTCTGGGGATGCTGACTGTGTTGCCTAAGGTACTTGCTACTGGGACACCCAGCTTAGGCACCCATGGTCTCTTGCCACTTTAAGTCCTAGAGAATTCTTTCTTGTGTGTGTGTGTGTGTGTGTGTGTGTGTGTGTGTGTGTGTGTGTGTGTGTGAGCAATGCAAATTTTCACAGTTTCTTAAGGGAGCTTGCATTTTCTGCTATTCTCAATGATTATGGCACATTTACAGAGGACCTGATTTGATTACACAGTCTACTCCATAAAGGTCTTATTGTCCATCCTTGTAGTAAGGGATTATGATTTATCTCTGACTCTTAAGAGAATTCTTCCCTGAAGTGCATACATTTCATTAAGGACATTCCATTAAAAGCATATTCTAAAATATCAATATATAGTAAATTATAACTTTATTCTAACTATTGGGATTCCTCAGTGGGGTCAGTAAAAATAGATTTTCCTCAGGATTAGGAGTTTCAGGTTAGCTTGAGGAGAGCCCCTGTTTTTTTTTTTAACTGTAATGATGAATGGAATGGGTATGTTTTACATGAGACTAGCCATTTCCCTCAAAATATGGGAAAAGCTTGGAGGTAGTCTTTGTAAGTGTTGGAAACAGTGCCTAATTATTTTTTCCTGTAACTTGTAATAACCTCCACTAGAGTAGTTGTTGTCTCTTTGGAATCATATTTCTTAGAGGGCCCTGGTCACCTTGTGACATGAGAACAGGCATGCACCATAAATGGATTGGTTGGACAGAAGCCTTGGCATGTGAAAAGGCCTTAGGGACAGTCACCGTGAAGGAGGGATAACACTGCCCATTCAGACTCACTGCTCCTGCCTGCCCTTTGCCTTCTGTTGCTGTGTACTAGGGCAGGGATTGCTCAGAGATGAACCTGCTCTCAGGGTGATGTGGGAGATTCAAAGCCAAAAGCCTACAGTGGGCCTTTGGCATTCAGACTGAACCCCTTTCCCTTGAGGAGCTCCTAGATGCAGGTGTAGGCTTTTTGTCCTGAACTTAACCTGGAAATGTGCTTCCCTATAAGTTATAGATGATACTTAGTTTTCATTTTAAATTGTAAAATTTTATATTGTACTTTCTCTGTTAAGAAATATGCTTTTGTGGGCTGGCCTTTGTGCAAGTGTTTAACTTATGTGACAATGGATTGTATATGCACACTGAAATGTTAACCTACTATTGCTTGAGTTATCTTTGTCAAGGTGCCATACTCCTGAGGATAACTCTGTTGTGGGTTTTGCCGTTTTTTTTCACTTCTTTGTTGCTTTGCTTTGATTCTGGCCTCCTTCTGGCCTGCTTGGCTTTTTACCTCTGGTCTTCCTGCTGATAAAATCTAACATAATGTATACCAGCTGCAAAAGGAAGGAGGGAGTATCTCAATTCTCATAACATGATATAATCTGACAGACTGAAAAAAAAGTCAGTCTTTGTAGAAGTGGTTTCAGCATGAGAAAAAGCTCCCCATCTCAAAACCTTTGGTTCTAGGACTTGTTTGCCCTCCCCGTCATGCCTGAGCAGTCTGTCTGTAGCACTGTTACTGTAGCTTACTAGAGCTACTAGAGACCTAGGAGGATTGTTTGTGGGGCAGAGTTAACCAAAGTAGATTTGTGTGCATGTGGTGGGTGGATGTGTGTTCACCCCGCCTTCCCACTCCCTCACAATTTTAGATGCAGTGGAGCCTAACTAGGTATGTTGCCTTATGGGCCTATTGGAATCAGGATTTTATCCAGTCTGTCAGTCCCTAAAACATGCCTTACTATTGCCTGCTTCCCAGGTGTTGGCTGTTTCCTCTGACCACTAATTGCCCTTTATGTTACCCATCTAAAAGGATACAACTTTCATGTGTAGTGTGGTCACTTGAGTTTTTTCAAAAAGGTTCTTTTTTCTATGTAACTTTTATTAGTTTCTTATGTATCCCTTGCCCTATTTTTGTAAGCTAGTCTGATTTCTTTCGGGCTGGGTGTAGGTGGGCATAGACTAATTTTAGGGCATGGTGTGAAAGTAGTATTTGTATTACTGTTTAATATTTTTTCCTTTTTTTCATTAGGCAAGAAAAAGTCATATTTCCCACGTTGTTCATGGGTAACTGAATTTGTTTGCTGTGCTCTTTTTCATTCTTTCTTAGTCTTGGTGTGTGGTGGAAGACACATTAACAAACTGGTTTTACTAACTGCATGGGGCTGACTCAGCTTTAACCAACTTACAGCCCATGAGTAAGCTTTCAAGGTCCTGTTTGATTTGACTTATTTTAAGTTCAGCTGTACAAAACAAGAACAAGTTAGTTGCAGTGGTCCTGGGGCAGCTGTGAATAGCATGTCAGGTGGTATTCCTATTATGGGGTAGGGCACTGTAGTGTGGACATCAGAATTTAGGGGTGGGGTTGAGGGTTATTGTCAGGCCCTAGGATCTCATTTGACTGTCTTCATGGAGCTGGGGTTCTTCCTGTGACCCAGTTCCTTCTGTTTTCCCAAATCAGGTACTAACGATGAAGGAGTCTTGTTCTATGGGCATTCCCTTGCCTCTGTGCTCACGCTTGCATTCCAGAATTAAATTGCAATAGTAGATGGGACCATGTGTGAGATCTACTTTACGTTGCAGAAATGCTTTTCAGTTTGCCGCTCCTGGACTGAGGACAGGAGCTGGCTGGGGCTGCTCTGAGGACACGTTGATTCATTGCAGTAGGGAGATTCAGGGTCTGGAGTGTGTCTGCAGGCTCTTCTGAGTTAGTTCTAGCCCATTTTGTCTTGTTCTCTCCTGTCCTCCCAGGTGTACCCATCCTTGCTTCTTTGGCAAACTTAGTGTTTCATCCTTTGTCTCTGTTGCTTTAGGTTTATTGTCCTCCTGACTAGCTACAACTGACCTTAGCACCTTTTCTTGGTTAGCTAGATTTTCTATTTTTGAGACTCCTTAGCTAGACTCTGGTGCTAAGCTCATGAAATTTCAAAGCTCTTGGAGGCTTTTTTTTTTCATATACGATTCCCACATCTAGCTCTCCATGCCTGCCTGTTCTGTCTTCCTTTAGCACTGTGTTGTCCACTGGGACATTTCCCTTTGGCTCTTTGCTGCTTTGCTGAAAATAAATGAGGTGTCTCTTTTCTTGGAAGTCTTTTTCTCCATTGCATAACTTTGCAGGCCCCTGAAGGGACCTCACCAGATCCATAATCCCACCAACGAGGGGGCATTCAAAAAAACTGGGAATTATCTTTTAGATGGCAGGCCCCTTGTAGCACAGGAGTCCCTTGCTAGGGAACCTATCAGCATCAGTGGACCAGCCAGGATAGTTGTGAGAGACAATTTACGGAAGAAACATCTCAAGTTGCGGCAAACAGGTAACTGGTTTTTCCAGCATTGTTCCATGCCACACTGAGTGTTCAGCCATTTCTGACCAAAAAGGGCATGACCCCTGTGCCCCCCCTTCCCTCTTCACCTGATCTTGCCCCAAGCAACGTTTCTCCCCCTCCCCCCATGAAAAAAGTCCTCAAAGGGAAATGTTTTGCCAATGTGGAAAAGGTGAAATAAAAAATAGCAGAAGCACTAAAAGGCATCCGAGCTGACAAGTTCAAAAATGGTTTTGAGCAGTGGAAAAAGCATTTTGATAGGTGTGTTGCATCAAACAAAGAATACTTTAAAGGTGACAAAGTTTAAAATGTAAGAATACGCAATTTTTTATAAATAAATTCCATTTTGGGGAGGTCTTCCTTGTATAGGATCAGCTTTCTTCTCCCTCCGGACTTTAACTTCCTACTTCTTGATTCAGAAGAGAGGTGCTAGGTAAGACTCTGCTGGATTATCATTCTCTCTATTCCACCCCTCTTCAAATCAAGAGTTCCATTTCCATCCACACAGAGAAATCACTTACCTAGCTCTGGTCCTCTCTTTATATCCTGGACTGCATCACAAGTGGTTGCTTGTTGAGGGCAGTGAGTGGCTTCTAACTAGGAGGAGACTAGGAAGGGATCTTGGACTGGGCATATGAAGTCAGGCTGTGGGCCTGACTTCCCATTGGCAGTGCAGTGGGTGAGCTCAGGTTAATAGCTGGACCTTCTCTTGCTTTGGTTTCTTTATCAGTGTAGCAACGGGATGAATCTGGCGTTTCTTAAAGGTCCATCTAACTCGAAAATGTCGGAATTTCAGCCTTAAATCTGCACATGGAGCCATCCTCCTGGTTACTGCTTTGTGTACCCCTGTGGACCAATACCAGAGTCTTCTCAGCAATCAGTGCTCCCTTTCTGTCAAGTTCTGGGGGCTGTCTGCAGTATAAGGTTGGGGGCTTGACCTGCCACTGTGATCTGTGAGACCGGGAATCTGAGGTGTGCATGTTGAGGCCATTTGAGGAGTCTGTCTATAGGCTTTTCCCTGAGGTTTCTAGGAGAAGCAGGGATTCTGGGACTAGCCAGACAAATGACAGCTGGAACTTATTATATGAGAGCTACAGTGGCAAATAGGATTGTGGCCCTTAGCTCCAGAAGAGGCATAGGCATGTAGCCTTGGGAGAATGGGAAGGATGGTTTAAAGCTTTCAAATGTGATGAAGCTTGAATATCAGACCTCCTCCAGCCCAAAGAGAAAAGGGGAATTCTAGGCTATCCATCATAGAAGTAGGGCAGTATACACCGGGGAGAAATGGTGTTTGTCAGAGCCTCAGTTCTTGGTCCTGATGTTCCTGGTCTTTGTGTATGTGGCTTGATCTCTAACTACAAATTTATACTCTGAGTTTAGTTTCTTTAGACATGAACTCTGTTTCTTCAAAGTAGACAGAGATTATTTGTCAAGTCTCTTTGCATGGCTGTTGCTTTGAGGTTATACTCACCTCTTTGGTATATGAAATAGTTGTCTTTGCAGGGAATGTCTGCACTTTTTAAATTTTTTTTTGAGTTGGAGTCTCACTCTGTCACCCAGACTGGAGTGCAGTGGCACGCTCCCAGCCACTGCAGCCTCGACCTGCTGGGCTCTGGCGATCCTTCCGCCTCAGTCTTCCAAGTAGCTGGAACTACAGGCGCGCGCTACCATGCCTCACTGCTTGATTTATTGTAGAGATGAGATCTCGCCAAGTTGCCCAGGCGGGTCTCGAACCCGCGGGCTCAGGCAGTCCACTAACCTCAGCCTCCCAAAGGCGCAGGATTACAGGCTGAGCCACCGAGCCCGGCTATACTTTTTTTTTTTTTTTAAGAGAACCTCTTTCCATGAGTCCATATTCAGGTCCCTGGACCTCTTTGATGAGTAGGTTGGAGACAGTGGTGGGCAAGTGTGGTGCAGTGTGGCCCCTTGTAATTGACTGCATCTCTCAAATTGCTAGTGGGACAGATTTTCCTAGGAAATTCCAGGGCTCACACTTCCTCCCTCCCTACCTCACTGCTTTCTGTGGCTGTGCTTCCGGGTCTGAGGGCCACATCACAACGCTGGGCTCCGGGATTGCTGGGTCCTAGCTGCAAGACTTTTGTGCTGGCCTGGGCTGTCTGCAGGGGAAGGCCTGCCCATCTGGCTTTGCTTGCTAAACAATTTTTTAAAAGTAATTTTCCCCCCTTAAGATATTCATGTACATTGTAGGTGACTTGGAAAATAATAAAGGAAGTATAAAGTAGTAAACAAAATTTACCTATAACCCAGGGGGAAGAAAAGTAACATTATTAAGTTTTCTATGATTTATATAATTCTATGAACATATATGCATATATGTATGTGTGTATGTGTATTTTTATATATATATATATATATATATATACCTCTCACATTTTAGATTTAGCTGCATAAACAGTAATATCTAGCTATATAAGGAGCTATAGTCTAGAATCTAGAATATGTACTTTTCTACTTTTTTTCCCCTTCACATCATTGAACATATGTAGTTTGGTAACCTGCTTCTTTTTCCACTTAGCATTAATTACATTCAGATTATTTCCCACTATTAAAAAATGTTGCAGAATGTGCTTTTAATGACTGTGTAAGATTTCCTTGTTTTGTTGTACCATTATTTATTTAACCTAGTACCCTGTTACCAGACATTAGACCTGCTCTGTGGGGAAAGAATCAGGACTGTGGCTGCAGTGGCTCATGTGATGAGGTTGCCAAGGAGGGCCACATGGTCTCAGTTCCCCAGGACTTCCTATCCTAATTTTCTAACCAAGTGGTGCCTTCTAGGCAGCCACTCCCCTTTGGGCCATCAGGACCTTACTGTGGGTCAGGAAGAGGAGTAGCTTTAGAAAGCAAATGTATTTCTTGTGTATAGAAAGTTTTTAAATGACACTCTCTTTTTCTTTTCTCCTTCCCTCCTTTCTCTGCTGTTGACCCCCACAGGGCAGTAAATGGCTTTGACTCAGCTCCTCCTCCTCCTGGCCTGGGCTCCTCGCGCCCATCGTCAGCACCGGGTATGCTGCCTCTCAGTGTGTGAGTGCCCAGTCTCCAGGTGAGGGCTCCTGCCCTCCTCCAACAACCCAGGACACCCACGCCTCACCCCTCGGTGCCCGGGCCCAGCCCTGTGTCCCTCTGTCTGCCTTCCCATGGCTGGCAGAGGGCAGGCTGCATGCGTGGCGGCTGCTGGGCCCTGCCCAGCCCCAGGACTCTGCGCGATATCAATACTGGCTATTTTCTCTTCTCGCCGTAGTGCCGTTGGTTTCACATGATTGCACTTTTGTGGGTCACAAGGTGATACATACGTGTATTACTTGGTCACTGGATGCAGAAGTACCCATCCATCACACCTGCCTCATAGCCCCCACTCTGCTGTACTGATAGAATTTAGTTGTGTTTAGGACATTGCAAACCTAGAAGTTCTCCCCCAAATCAGGTCAATGTGTGCCCTCCTCCTGAGCTCCCACCCAACATTTTCAGTGCTCATGATCATGTGTCCCCCCCAACTCCACCCCTCACAGTTTGGGCGTGTTTCTGGCAGAGTCAGGAAGGTTACTGAATTAGGGAACATTTTCTGCACCTTCTGATTTTACTTAAACAGTTGCCATTCCATGGACTTGCCTCCCAGAACAGCAAAATGCCCATGTGAACCGGCAAGAGTCTCTGGGGCCTGGGCTTGCACAGGCTGAACCTCTGTGCTGTCTCCTCCTCCGTGTGCCTCAGACTCGGGGGGTGGGGGGGCAACCTCTCGCCAGCTTTCCGGTCCTTCAGTTCAATGCCATCTTCACAGCGTTTTTTGTTTTCTCTTCCAAGGGCCCGTCCAGTTGTGTTAGGAAGGGTTGAGTGGCCTGATTCCAGGACTGGCTGGTGCTGGCTCCTGGGGGGCAGACTGACCAAAAGTGGTTGTCCCTGTGCATCCTTTGATTACTCTCATGCTGCATTTACTGTTTACATTTGTTTTATTGTACATAGGTTTGTAAACATTATTGCCTAAGATATTTGTATATAACTTGGGCTTTGTAGCTTTTATTTATTCAGAACTCATATGGCATGTTAATGACTTACGATGGTGTCCTACTCTGGACAGCTGTATAGGATCATCATGTGGTTAAAAAAAAACTTCCCCTCAAAAAAAGTCTTTTAATGTGGAAACAATAAATTTCACAGAAAAAAAGGATTGAGGTTGCTTTATTGGGTTGCTGCTATCTCGTGAGAGAACAGCTGGAGCACACAAAGCCAGTTTCAAATGTCACTTCTGCTCTGACATGAGTCATGCGCGGATGGACAGCAGCCATGGAATGGAACAGAGAAGATTCAGGTGGCCTTAGGAGGTATCTTCTGCACTGTGCGGGCATTCTCATGCTGATTCTTGGTGCTGGTTTCTGGTGTTGGCTGTGATTTCCAGAACCAGTCTGAGAATGGTCTGGGAAGAAGTACCAGGATGTTGAGGGCAGGAGCTCACAAGGTCACGGGTAATTGGGATAGATCCAGGAGCTGGTCCTCTAGCTATGCTGCCTCTCATAACAAATGTTGTTCTGGGTCAGTCATTGCCTAGAAACTGACTTCTCATTTCTCAAGTTAATGCTGGTAAGTAAGAGAAGGTGCCTGATGTCCAGTAGCAAGATGCAAGTTAGCATGTTAAGAACATGTAAACTGGGGGTCTGTATGGATGTATCAGCTTCTGAGCACTGTTTGCTTATAACAGCTTAAACGAACAGTATACTTAGTTCTAAAACTATAAGTAAACAAAAATTAAGTGAATCCAAACCCTAAGTAGGCCGGGCTCGGTGGCTCAGCCTGTAATCCCAGCACTGAGAGGCCGAGATGAGTGGATTGCCTGAGCCCGCGGGTTCAAGACCAGTCCGGGCAACTTGGCGAGACCTTGTCTCTACAATAAATAAAATATTAGCTGGGTGTGATAGCACGTGCCTGTAGTTCCAGCTACTTGGAAGGCTAAGGCGGAAGGATTGCTAGAGTCCAGCAGGTCGATGCTGGGGTGGCTGTGAGTGTGCCACTGCTCTCCAGCCTGGGCGACGGAGTGAAACCCAACTCAAAAAAACAAAACCCAAAAAACCCTAAGTGAATAAGAAACATTAAGTAGGGTACGTTTTCAAACATTTCTTTTATCTGTTAATATCCAGGCAGGAATATGGTACTAGGTCCTGGAGATTTTGTCCTCAGTTGACTCCCACAGGGACGCTTGCTGTGGTGTGTGTGCACTGTACCCACTGTGCTGGCAGAGTAGCTGAGGAGATAGTTCTTAAGTCTTACTGATGTGCAACAACTCCCAGCTTCTTTCTCAGCCATCACCAGAAGGGTTGGGTCAGAACAGAAGTTTCATCATTTAGCAAACCTCTTTGTGCAGGAACCCCAAATCTAAAACACAACAGAGTTACTCTGGCTAAAGCACAGATGACATTTAGAGCCCCAAATCTTTGACCCTGGCTCCCCAGTGATTTCTCAATTCTTCTGTGGCTGAACACCCTGGGCTCATTTCTTCCAGACTGTTCTGCCAGTTGCTGGTCACTCAGCTGGTGACTGGAGAAGGGGACCTGGCGGTAGAATCTCACGTGTCATTCACTGGATCTCACCACTTTCCTGGGTCCAGGAGAGCACGGGCCAAGTCCCTGAAAGGGCAGCAATATGTTACTGGGTTTATTTCCAGTTCCTTTGGGAAGAGACTTCCACTTATTTTTGTGTGTGTGTGTGTGTGTGTGTGTGTGTGTGTGTGTGTGTGTGTGTGTGTGTGTGTAGCTGTAGCAGCCCTTGGCCCATGACCCCAAGAGGGAATCTAGTTGACTCCCCAGGCCTTTCATTTTCTGTTTGGGTTATTTGATGCAAGGTGCTACTTTGGACTTGCTCAAGAGAGCATTTGCGACTTGGAATGAATGTGACTGCCTGTATAGCTAGAGTGCCTCAGGGTCCTGGTTTTGCCTGTGATACCTCAGGAATGAACCCTGCTGCTCTGGGTCCTGTGAAACTGCTGGCTGCTGGGGGCTTATCTCCCAGGTGGTGAAGGACAGCCTCTTGCCTCCAGGTGTTTTCATCTCAGCCCCCTAATCCCAGCCCTCAATCCCAGGATGTCTTCCTGGATGACAGTAGGAGCCTGCTCCACTTCCTCTCAGCCCAGAGTGGCCAGAAACTACACCCCACCAATGCAGTTAAGAGCCAGAAGCCAAAGCTGGGACCTTGAGGACACGCTCTTACCTCAGTTGGCAGAGGAGACAATAGCCCAGCGTCTGACTTTCCTGAGCTTACACAGCCAGCTCCTGGTGAAGCCAGGATTGGGAGGAAGCCGTGTCTTTTTCTGCTGTGCCTTTCCAAACTCAAGGCCTCACTAAGCTTGACTCCCAAACTCTGTCCTTTGGCTCAGGAGATGAATGAATTTAAGGTTTGGAAATGAGCTGTGAGGCCAGCACAACCTTTGCAGTAGGAGTCTGTTTTATCCACCCTCCCTCCTGGCTGGCGTGTGCTGACGCTGCTTCTCTTTAACAGCTGTCCCAGGGAAGCCATTAGCATGCATCTCCTGAGAGCCAGGGTGGAAGCTGGCACCCCAGGGAAAGGGGTGGCATCCCTGGTGGGGCCACAGCTTTAGGGAGTACGCTGTAGTCAGATCTCCCCTCCTCCCTGCCTAAAACTGGGAACTAACCTGGCTGTAGTGGGAACAAGGCCAGAAAGTGGGGTGGGTCCAAGCAGTAAGCTTTCACTGTTTGCCTGGAAGATGCTAAGATGAGCCTTCTCTCTATTCCAGCTTTTACTTTACAGATTGTTTTCCTCTATATATTTTCCTCAAAGGTTAAAATAAATTGAAAACACAAGCTTGGCCTTAAAAAATAGACGTTACTTGATTATTTTCTTAAAATGGTGGGGGGGAGGAGGAGTTATTTTTGTAAATCATTTTCCCTTGATTTTTTAAAGCATCTGACTGAAAAGTGTTCCCATGACTATTAAATATACGATATATGGGAATCCACTAGCCCCTTTATGAATTTTAAGGAAAAACAATAATCAAGTAAATATTAACATAACAGACTTCCTTTAAAGAGAGTGCATTGAAGAGGCAAATTTGAAAGTAGAACAAATCTAATGGTGCTGGTGTTGGGGTACTGGGGAGGGGGTTGGGCTGTGTGGTATCATAATTTGGGATCATGCTGTGTCCTGCTGTCTGTCTGTACCCACAGGAATTCTTTTTGTGTGTCCTATCTGCTCTTCAGGAAGCTTCCCCAAGGGAAAATGATGCACACTGAACAGAAGTTTCATTTTTTTACTTGTGGAATGTTTTCTAATCTGGTGTCAAGCCTGGCAGTGTCACCATTAACAATACTGTGATCCTACCTGGACTGGTTTGCAGGTGGAGGCCTGAAGGAGGCTAGTGGAGTGACATGTGCCAAGCGGGAGGCCTAGGCAGGTTTACTGGCACAAGCCCAAATAAACAGATGAGGGACATCTGGATGAGGCTCAGAGCCCTACTGCTCCCTTCAGTAGATGATGGGGCTAAGAAACTTTTTGGGTCAAAAAAGGTGATTGTTTTAAATAGGAAAAAAAAAATCAGCAAATTAATCCCACTGTCATAGATTTAGGGAAATAGGCACACTTTTACATTACTAGTGTTACTATATTCTCTGTAAGTCTTGAATCAACCTAACAAGCTATAGAAACTCTTTCCACTTTTGGGGTAATATCCCATGGTAGTAAAAACAAATAAAATAAATTTCAATAGCAGTAATACAAACATCTGAGGGTAGGGAATTGTCAAGATAATTTAGCAGAACAGGATACCCTAGAGCTCTGTAAGTGTACAGCATGCCAATACATGGGACTGAAATTGACCAGCGGGGAAGGGGACAGAACAGATGAACTTGCTAACTGTAGCTTTACCAGAAAAGAATCAGAAGTGAAATTGAAAGGATGCAAATGATTTACTATTTGTGGGTTCTAAATTTTTTTGTTAATGTGCCCAAATTTATTTTTTAAAAATTGAGTTGATGACAGATTTTCTTTCGTTGTTCATGTTGGCCTGAAGACCCAAGATATTTGAGCAATAGTACAAGGCAGTGACTCCCTGACCTGCCCAATGACCTGCTGAGTCACATTTAGGGAAAGATTAAAACACAGATTCTCAGGCTCCCCTGAACACTGGCCTCTGGAGGAGAATGTGGTATATTTCACAGAATCTCAAGCACCAGCACTGTAAGACACTTTTGTGATTTATTAAGAAAAACATGCCAATTAGAAGTATGAAAATGCTATTTGGACTTGGTTTATTGAAAGAGCTTTTAGACTTCTTTAGACAGATTTCCATCATATCAGACAATATACAAAAAGGAAAATGTGAGAGATATCCCTAAAACTTCACATTGAGTTTGACATTCTGAACCACTTTTTGACCCAGAGTTGTCCTTGTCCGTGTTTTCCCAAGCAGTGTTGTGCTACTTGTGCCATGGCGGGTGTTGGTGATACAGCATTCCTGAAAAGCATGTTCCACTGTTGGCTCCAGAATTTTCTTCTAAGCTGCTGGTGCCCATTCTGCAAGTTTTGATGCTGGGCTTTATTGATCTTACCAGGAGGAGCCAGGCAATGACATCACAGCTGCCACCTGCTGTCAGTGCTTGTGAGATGCATGAGATTTTACACCCATGGAAACGTGGGCGTCTTGGAATCTGTGCACTGTGGTACAGTATTTGGAGGAGGAAGCGTCCTCTTGGGTGTTTCAGTCAAAACCAATTTAATTGTCATGCTACATCTTGCGTAAGGCTTCGTGACATCCAGTCAGCTGGGATGGAGCCTGCTGCCGGACTGTCTAGTCTCAGAAGGGCTTGAAGGACATGGTCACACTTTTGGCATACGGTACACAGGCACTGTAATTACAGTTAATGTCTTTGAAAACCAGCATGATGATGCAATTATACCCTTTTCGATTGCTTTGTGTTAGATTTCTGACAAGAATGAGATCCTTCGCATGATTTGCCAAATTCCCAAATGACAGGTGGGTGGTTACCAAAGGTAGTGGGCTGCTCTGCCTGGTCCTGACAGCTGGCACTGGACAGCGTTTTGGCAAACACTCAAAATTTGGGAAAGCTCTTGCTGCAGATGTTGCCCAGAAAGGTCGGGGGGGGGAGAGGGGTATTCCTGTGTCCCTCCCACAGTGACTAAGAAGCCTCTGTGGGCAGAGGCTGG